AAGGATTAGTTTATTTCAATTGAAATTGTAGTTCAATGATATTAAAGGTCGCCAAGCTCATAAAATATTTTCGGTAATATCTTGGGTTTTAATATTATAAAATGAATTGTTTCATTGTATTAATTTTCACAATTACCCGAGTTTCATTTATGTTAACTGGGAGAGAAATTTAATTAATACTTAATTTGTCTTTTAAGCAACGTTCGTTGAAAATGTAACATTATTAAACTGCTTTGTTGAAAAATTTAATTAAAATTGAAATTTTTTAATTTTTTTTTGTTTATTAGTAAGTTTTTTTTAAACTTTTTATTTCTTCAATCTGAAATTACCGGTTTGCTTATACTAATTATTATTATTTCTTATGGTACTTTTTTTAACAATTTTATTAGCTTGATTACAAACGGACGGTCTCCACGATTGGTCGGTGACATGTGAGGCAGACAATGAGTGCCTAAATTAAACGCACGCCACTAAAGTGCTGTAATGCGTAGCGGGGATCGTCTCCCTCATATTATTAAGGGTTCGGATGCGATTATAAAATTGCTAATTTGAATTTTATTTATACTTATAATATTCCTTTTTAGAAGAAGAATAATGAGCATCGGGAATAACGAGATGATATACAACGCCCATGGACATCCGGAACACCAAAGGAACTACAGATGCGTTACCGGTCTTTGAGGAAATGGTAGCTCGTTGTAGCCTTACTAAGTACCTAATTTCTAAGTACTTTATCTATGTAATTATTATTTTTTGGACTTTTTCATACTTATACCTAACTACCGATTCTTTTCTCAAATCTAAAACAGAAGAGTTAAGTATTTGAAGTTACGTTTGGATTACGACATTAATAATGCTGTCAGTAATACGTAAGTCGAAATCATCATCATCATCACCAGCTCACTATACGTCCCCACCGAGGGGCTCGGAGCCTACCCTTATGCGGGGTGATTAGGCCATAGTCAACCACGCTGGCCAAGTGCGGGTTGGTTGACTTCACACATATCTTTGATTTTCTTCGCTGATATGAGCAGGTTGCATCGTGATGTTTTCCTTCACCGTAAGAAAGTCGGGTAAATTATGTACATATGAAAATTCGAAAAATCGAAAATCACATTGGTACATGGCGGGATTCGAACCCAAGACCTGTAGATTACAAGTCAAGTGTTCAAACCACTGAGCCACCGACGCTCGAAATAAACACAAACAATTCCTTCAAACACGTACTTAGGTTATATTGAATACTGCGATATTGCGCCATCTTCAATAACTGCAGACTGCCTGCATAAATTGTCTGCAGACGCTAAAGTTTTCGACAGATCAGAGGTAAATTAATCCGAGTTTAAGATAAGCGCGGGTTCCAATTTACATAATATCATAATTTTGAATTATCGCGGTCTAGAAAAATACAAACGGAATATAGAAATATGTGTTCGTTATTTTGTTAACATTAAAATAAGATAACCATTTTAGAAAACTATTAGATACTTATATACGTATATTTTCTTTGTATGTTGCGGATAATATAGTTCATTTACCAACTTATTTAACACTAATTGTTACTCGTGACTCCGCCCCTCAAGGCTCAAAATATAGCCTATGTTACTCACTGATATCGTAGCTTTTTATTGGTGAAAGAATTTTTGAAATCGGCCCAGTAGTTTTTGAGTTATTTCAATACATATAAAAATACAAATCTTTCCTCTTTATAACATTAGTGTAGATTATAAAATGTCAATCCTAATAATTACTTTTTGAATTCTTTAAAAACGATTTCTATGTTTAATTCCAAATCCAAACTTTAAACAAATATAACTTTCGAGTTAAATTCGTTTCACATTTAAATATAGCTTATCCCGTCTTTTATATTAGTTGTCAAGCGGACTCATTGGACTGAACCGAGAGAAAGGACACCTGTCAAATTTTGTCGATTTACAAGAACCTCGGTCAGTTGGAACTTGTCACAACGGACTCGATTACACCGCTGGTATAATTCATAAGATATAGCGTATTGGTTAGTATACCGTAGCAATATAGCTGTCTCTTTTATTGTCTGTCAAAGAAAGAGATAAGAGTGTTATACAACTGCCACGACAGAAAACGGTATTAAAAAGCACTATAGGAATATGAGCATCAAAACTTGAATGTGTACGTCTCATATATTGATGTTGTTTTTGATGAAGAAATTGATTTCTGAAACTTCTACTAGGTTTCGATATATTACCAAGAATATCGTCATCTTTACAGAGCGCTTATCACGGATATTCGTGGGAAAGTTTTTGTATCTTGATCGATATTTTTTTCACATCTGTGTAAATTTACTAAATAACGTTACGAATACATTCTCGCAACTGTCATGAAAATTCCTGATACACCTCTATTGTGTACTGAAATACTGTTAACAAGATAACTTATTTTCAAGATGTGTAAGAGCGGGAAACCTAAAACAAAACTATCGCAGAACTGTTTAGTATTGCTTTGAATTCTATGAGCTTATATGGAGGTGCGCACACTACTCGATTGTTAGTTGTGTAACTAAACAGTTGTATTGGCTGCGAAACAATCGACAATCGCACAACAGTAATGCGATAGTTTAGTCAAAGTTGTCTCGATCTAATTTGTATTCTATAGTGTCTACATAATAGAGTGGTTGAATTACGTAAATAAAAAACAAAAACTAAATTCCATTCTCTCATAAATTGTGGTAAGTTTCGTTTTGAAAATATACGACTGTACAACATTCCACCTGAGCCGTTCGGAATCGTAATAAACTTTTTGCGGTAACCCTTTTAAACCTGAAAGGCAATCCTTTGTCACTTAAATTCTGACAAGGTTTATTTCTATTTAAAAAATAAAGTAAAAAGTCAAATATTTAGTATATCAGAATATACATACATAAGCGGATATATGGAGCGTCGGCGGCTCAGTGGTTTAAGCACATGACTTGTAATCTACAGATTCGCATCCCGCCATGTACCATTTTTTTTCGAATTTTCATATGTACATAATTTACCCGACGTTCTTACGGTGCAGGAAAACATCGTGGTGCAACCTGCAGAAATTCAAAGATGTGTGAAGTCAACCCACCCGCATTGGGCCAGCGTGGTTTGACTATGGCCTAGTTATCCTAACTTAGGGTAGGCTCCGAGCCCTCGGTGGGGACATGTAGTGAGCTGGTGATGATGACATACATAAAAGCTAATAAACTTAGCTATACTAGTAACAGCTTTAATTTCTCATCAGAGTATCAAAATTGACTTTATCTCGATTTTGAAATCAAAATTTTATTCAACGCAAACTAAATAATCAACAAGGCTCGTAAGCCGATATCTTACAAATACTGCGGTTACGGCGTAGGCACCACAAATACCGCTACATCGACGGCGGGTATGCTACGATCGATCAGTTTTCGTAGCACTCGTAGTACATCGATGAAATGTCGGAATGTCTTGATCTAATACTTGATACAGGATGTTTCTAATTTCAATTGATTATAAATCAATGCATATAACTTCATTCAAATAATAACCAAAATAAGGTATTGGCAGCTATCCAAATATGTAGTGTTTAGGCAATAAGATACACGGTTAAAATGTAACTTTAACATTTTATACGTCACGTTAAAAATGTAACAGTTATAATAAAGTTTAAAGGGAAAAATACTAAATAATTTCCACTAAATCCATATAAAATTCAGTCGTTAAAGCTAAGTCACCAAATCTTTAATCAAATTAAATCGTATATTAGTTATATTTCTATTAATAAACTTTTTTTTTCACAAATTAGAACACGCTGTATATACTGTGGTATGTGGTAAACAGAACGTTTGTATCGCATGCCAGGGAATATTCAGCTGCCAAAGACGTCATACTGGTTTAACATTCTTGATTGCTACAATCTCACAAAAATCTGTCTAAGATTTTAATAAAAAGGATTGTTAATATACACATTATACTAAATAACTAACTTTCGCCGAGACTCCGTCCGCATTGAATAAAAAACCAAAAGTGAGTAGCCTAGTTTTCTTCCAGACTATCCTCTACATCCATACCAAATTTCATCAAAATCTGTTCAGCCGTTTAGGCTACAAACTCTAACAAACATCCATCCATCTAAACTTTCGCATTTATAATATTAGTATGATAAGGGATGAAGACACAAAGAGCTATAGAGCTATAGAAGATTATATCTTGTTTTTTAGTTTTTGCATGCGTCTGTGTCAATACGGAATTAATAAATTTATATAGCTTATGTCATTCAGCGATAAATCAGCTTTCTAATGTAATAGAAAAAATCGATATCAGTTCAGTAGTTTTGGAGTTTATTCATTACATATAAAAATAAAATTGTCGATATCCAAAACTAGCAGAAGCTCGTGACTTCGTCGCATGGAATTAAAAAAAGTAGTAAAAACAAAGTCTGTGTTACTCAATGATAACGTAGGTTTTTTAATGATGCAGGAATTTTTTGTATCGAACCAATACTTTTTGAATTATCACAATAAGTACGAAAATACAAACCTTTCCTCTTTATATTAATAGTATAGGTTATATTAGTATTGTTGATAGATACAAACAAGTCGAATTAAACTCTTTTGTTTCACTGTTTTCTTAAAAAAAAAAAAAACGTTTTTGTTTGCAACCGAAATCCTCTCTAACATCAGCGTCGTCTCGCGCTCTGCTTAGTACCGTCAGTCAACGCGTGACGTCATATGTCACAACGCTGCGTTCGAGTAATAACTACTGACATTTACTTGACCTTTCCACTGTACAAATATATTAATAATGTATTAGTCATCATTCTTGAATATTAAAGAGACAATTATGTTATCGAAAGGGTCATATGGACATGACTTTGATATGCAATTGCGATTAAATGATTAATAATTTTATCATTATTAATTCTTATAGAATATGTTGATAAAAAAACAATTATTTTACATTGTTGCTAGCTCTTATCAAGGATTTATTACGTATTTTCTAGTCTCAAATCGTATTTCTTATTATCTATAGTGTTTTGAATTTAATCGAAACGATTTTTTTATTAGTTTTGGCATTTGGTTGCGTTGATATACGAAAGATGTTTCGGTTTCTATTTATTAGTTTGTTTTGTTTTACATTTGTGTGCTGTCAAACCGGTATGTTTATATTTTTGTTTTTGATAATGTAAACACACACAAGAGACATCCAAACTTGACTTGTCTCTTAGACACACAGTAAATAAGAGCTGTTGTACAATTGTCGATTGTCAATTGTTTCGCAGCCCATTCAACTGTTTAGTTGCATAACTAAAAATCGAGTAGTGTGCGCACCTCCATATAAGCTCATAGGAATCAAAGCGCGAATAAACAGTTGTAAAACAGTTTAGTCAAACGTGTGCGCGCGATCTAAGCTTTGATTTCTCTAACTAGCCCTCAAATTCAAGGATAGTTATAGACAGACGTAATTAATTATTACTTAAATGTTTAACAATCCTAATATTAATAGAACAATTTTCTTTCAGTGAACAATGTGCGTCTAATAGAGCCAATACCATACATGGTTAAAGTGATCACAGAGACTGTCCAACGGCTTGAAGATGCTGAATGGTGCAGTTTGAAAGTACCTGACGTCGTTGTTAATATGAAGTAAGATAAAGTATTATGAGATCCAAAATTTATGGTGGTTATGCTAATGTTAGGCAGAGAATTGTACGCGCACGAGTGTGCCACGATCTCACCAATAACTAAAATTGTGTAATTTTTCGAAGAGTCACAAAGTTTGAACGCGACGATACTAGTCTGTGTGTCATATGACATCTTAATATGGATTAAACTTAAAGTAGTGTTTGAAAGAACTTTTACGTCATAAATTAATCGTCTTCCAAATGGAAAAGATTATTTAACTATTCTTTTGTTTTACAGCGAAGTAATATTCGGCTCGTCAGTCACGGGTACAGTCGAGTATAAAAATGGTTTCGTGGTTGCTATACGTCACGTCGACATCCTGCAACATAGTCTCGGTCAAGTATGGAGGTTCGATAGAGTTCAGAATATGACTACAGTTGAGGTCACCGGTACTTTAAGGTTTAGTGACGTCACAATAGGTTTTGATGTGGAGACGACGATAGAGGGAGCTGTTAAACGGTACACTGCAGAACTATTAGTACCGCTTGTGTCATTCGATATGCGTGTAAGTATTTTTTAAGTGTTAATTAAAATTACATAGATGGCGCTGTAACAAGTTAATGCGTTTTTGTATTGCAGGTTATAAGAGACATGTTCACTGAGAATATCAACGTGACAGTTGTACCTCTCGTTATCACCCGAAATAGAGTTAAAATGGATTTTATGCCCGTAGATGACCTCACAGATGTATTCTCTAATTTGGTGAGGATTAGCTTAAATTGTCATCAATTTATGAGTGTAGCTAAGTTGTTTAAGCGCTTGACTTGTAATTTACAGGTCTTGGGTTCGAATCTCGCCATGTACCAATGTGATTTTTCAAATTTTTCGAATTTACATGACGTTCGACGATAAAAGAAAATATCGTGAAGCAACTTACACATAACAGCAAAGAAATTCAAAGATATGTATGAAGTCAACCAACCCGCTGTCGACCAGCGGGGTTGACTATGGCCTAGTCACCTTAACTTAGAGTGGGTTCCGAGGCCCTCGGTGATGACTCATAGTGATCTGGAATTGATGATGACCTTCATTATCATCAGTATACGTTCTCACTGGTTAGGAGTCTACACTAAGGGTGCCCAGACGATAGTAAACATGGTAACCCAGTGATGGACGACTCGCACATATATTTGAATTTCTACATCATTAGAATCTCTACATCAGCGCCATCTCTGCATCGTTATCGTCAATGTCACTATATCCCAGCCTGTACTTGTGAAATTTTCTCCATGTCTGATTACTTTTAAGGTTTTTGTTTCGAGTTTATCAAATAGCTTTTGTATATGTCTTTCAGTTTAACTTCAACTCTATATCTGAAGCTGCGATCGTATGGGCTTCCGACTTCCTGAGACCATTCGCCCTCAACGCAGTCGAGAATGTCGTCGATTATCCCGAGATTTGCTATGATTGTCCAGTTTCGTAAATAAATATGATACACAAACCTCAATGTTATTTTATTTAGACTTTGTAAGCACTCAAAGTGATTTATTGGTTACTTAAGCTATCCTATAGTGTATACTAAAGGAACCAACGCTATAACATTCGCTTAATTGCTTTACGACTCTTAGTGTAGCTTGTACCCAATTTTTCAATATTTGTTGGTTCTAGTTAAAGAATTGACAAGATTGTACTTGGCCACCTCAAGTCCGGGATTACTGTGCCTCTCTAAACAATGATAACTCAGTAAAAAAATATATATTAATGGCTGTCGCCCGCGACTCCGTCCGCGTGGAATTAAAAGAAAAAATAAAAGTGAGTATGTCGCGTGTTTTCTATACTATCTTCTACATGTATGCCAAATTTAATCGAGATCCGTTCAGCAGTTTAGGCTACAAACTCTAACAAACTATCCATCTAAACTTTAGTATAAAAATCAATAAGATTTAATATAGCCACGTAGGCTATAATATCAAAATCTTATCTGATAATTAAATAATTTGTGCATTTATTTATCATAATAATGTATTGATTTTATCGTCTTTAGATATAGAGAGTACTGTAAGAATATAACCATCAATACAATTAATATGTGAAATTATGGAATTGACAACAATTTTACTCGCGTTTGCAACAATTACCACAGTAAGTGGTACAAGTAATAGAGCAGGTGAGTGGTACAAGTAATAGAACATTTTGCAAGCATATTAATTTTCATAGTTATTTTTAATTGTGTATATTTAAAGATTTAATAAACTAGACCTGTCTTTTGTGTAGTTTTTTAATGTATTCGGATTCGATAATTTAATTTTGACTCCGTTAACGTCATTGATGAATATTATTGCACTTAAGTGCTTTTTATCTTTGTTTGTTTTTCTTGTTTTTAAAGTTTAAAAATTTTCATGCCCTATTTTTTTCACGTTTAAATTGTTTGCTTTTTTCACAGCTCGTATACCACGCTTGGTTGGTGGCAATGAATATTTCCTGAATGCAATGCAAGATTTGGTATTCGAATTGGAGAAATATGGATGGTGGAATTTTAAAATGTTAGATGTCTCGCAGACACTAAAGTAAGTATTTTCGTTTCAATAATATTCAACGAATATTTATACGATGATATTATTTGAAAACTCTTTGATTATTCTGTTCAGTAGTAAATTGAATTAAATCGCGCATTTTACTACCACACTTCGTACTAATATATGCAAATGTTTAGATGGATTAATGGTTGTTAGCGTTTGTAGCCTAAACGGTTGAACGGATTTTGATGAAATTTAGTAGATGTAGAGATAGTCTGGAAGACCCATAGGCTACTCTCTATTGGTTTTTTAATATCACGCGTACGAAGTCGCGGGCGAAAGCTAATAAAAACGTGAAATCAACAAGAGCTTTGATCAGTTAGTTTGCTGATATTCTTATTTTGATTAAAGACATGTGAAGTCTAAAATAATTGGCTAATTCTTTTTGTACCCATGAGTTCATATCAATACTTCTGTTAAAAAGTTAACTACATTTTTATTGTACACTTCAGCGAACAAATGTATAACTGGCATGTGTCCGGTACAGTCAACTACACAAATGGTTTCGTCGTCTCTATAGAGAAGATTGATCTATCCGATATTACCTCGCTGATGACCAGTAGAACAGTTAACGATACACAAGAATGGCACGGCAGTGTCAGAGGTCATGTCAATCTCAGAGATGTACGCGTTGGTTTTGACGTCATAGTCAATTTAGAGGGACAACCAGAACAGAGATATACCGGAGTCTTTACTCACTCTTTGATAAGGATTCTTTGTACGGTAAGCCATAAATGCTTCTTTAAATAAGACCATAATCTGATTTTTTTACAATGATCGGCACACCCTATCGGGGGCCCTTGTGCATAGTCACTACATGGATCGAGCTCCCGAAGAGCTCGGTGTCCTCCCAATCCGGTAATGATAACAAAGTAACGGCTCGTGACGAGGCTTCTGAAGGAGCCCTCGAGCTTTGTTACTCATAAACGAGGTTTAGGCTAAGCATCATGCGCTCGGCCACCTCAAGTCCGGTGAATCTGTAAATGCCTATTCAAGGCAAATAAAAAGTTTTAGTCACAAAAAAAAGATCGTCAGGGCCTTAATTCTTATACTGTTGCAGATCAGTAAGAACATGAACGACAAACAAAAGACTGTGTCCGCGCAAACGGCTAACTTAAGCGCAGGCAGTGGCGTCCGAATGATTTATCTTCCAGCAAATCATGTTACACAAGTCTTATCTAGACGCGTAAGAATCTTTTAGATCATAGTAAAGGGTTAACCTTTAGTAATCACAATGAACTACTCGCTCACGCAGCATACATCCCTAGAACTGTTCCAAAGCGACGCAATTTGTTTCATTTATAATGGACTAGCTTTCGCCCGCGACTCTCGGTATGGAATTAAAAAAAGAACAAAATTGCCTATGTGTTCTTCAAGACTATCCTCTACATCTACTCGTATGTCTTTCATAATGACTAGTTAAACCGCTTACGCTACAAACTCTAACATACATCTATCTCAAATTTCGCATTTATAATATTAAGAAGAATAAGAATTAGTACGACATATTCCGTCGTCATTGTCATCAAAGAGTTAATATAATATTATTTAATTCTTGGGCGGAAAGGGCTGATCATGATTTGAACACCTAAAGTGTAATATGTTTTTTCTTCCAGTATCTACCCCGTGACAACTGGGATAGCGTAAGCAGTTGGTGTAGAGACATTATACAGCCAAGACTACATAAAGTGGCTGATAAAATGCAATATCCAAGTGTCTGTTTTGCTTGCTAATATCATCTTGATAAAATTTGTTTCTTTAGTGAATTTTACTTTATGTTTAAAATTGTGCCATCTATCGTAAAAATAAAGCACTACTATGAAATTGCAAATTGTTTTTAACAAATAGAATCATAACTAGATGGCGCTTTTCAAAATAATTGAAGTATTGCGCGATGTTTGCAGAAAAATCAAACACAAATTGAAATATTCCAACTGTTATGTTCGCTTTGCGCTAAATTGAATTACTGATTTTGATATCAAAAAGTTCCAAACAATTCTAATCATTTTAAATATTTTGCAATTTACAAATTCAAACATTTATACATTTATTATGTTAATGTCTAAACTTTATATAAAATAGCTTTCTGTAAGAAATACATTCAGTAGATTTATTATATAAACATGACATCTATTATCATTGAAATAAACCTTAATGCGAGAAAAAATGATTTTCAATTATAATAAGAGATGGCGCTGGCGATGTCTTAAAGTAAAAACGCCAATCTTCGTCTAAACCTGTCTTGTTTTCTTTTAGGCAATAAACTACAAAATCATAAAACAATAAAAGAAATATTTTAATTTATTTCAGCAGCATTTTATTACAACGATCACTTCTTGTATCAACATTACAACCTTTACAATAATACATTCGCATCAGATAATCTCTCAATAAAACATTCAAAAAATTATTACACTCTTTAACATTATTTACAAAAATACATATTTACAGCGGAACTTCACTAACATAATAAATTAAATAAGGACGTGAATTCTCGTCTTTTTCATTAAGGTCCATAAACACTACAATATTCACGACGGGCAACGTGTGGTAACGCAGGAACGGATATTATAATTTCATTAATTTTATCCTTTATTATTGTTCATTATTAATAATAAAACAATATTGTCAAATAAATCAAAACCTCACAATTCTCTTCACTCTTTCTGAACAAAAATGAAGTATAAGGAAGAGAAGTGAAAATAAGGCTTATAGTACTATCAATGTGACGTCCTTACGTTACCACATATCGCCTGAGGTCGCCAGTCCTACACTAGTATCACACGGCGGGCCGGGCGGCTACACAAGCACG